CCCCCAGCAGGACAGGCAATTCGTTTCGGTAAACACGGTAGATATTGAAAACGAAATTTTAAGTCAGAAAAATAAGGAAATAAAAAAATTACATAAAGACATAATCAACATACAAGAACTATACAAGGAGTTATTTGATCAGGTAAATATTCAAGGGGAAAGCATCGACAACATAGACTCTCAAATAATTACCACCCATGATAACATTCTTATGTCCGGTCGAGAAATTGAAATAACGAGGAACAGGTACTTTAGAAGCATCCGGTGCATGGGCTTCCTTTTCTTTTTTCTAATAATTTTGATAATAATTATTTTGGTTGTCTTCAGGGTTATATGATGAAGAATTGCATTGGGTGTAAGTAAGCAGTAGATGGTATACATGTGGGTGGGTGAGAGAGTGTATACCTTTGTGGATAAGTGGCACACGAAGTTGTAACTTTTCCACTGTTAATGTGCTTCGTTTCCTTGACCCCAGGAGTTTTTTTTTTTTTTTTTTTTTTTTTTTTATCATATCCCCAGTCATTTGGTTCTTTCATTATTACGTATAAAATTAGGAGCCATTTATGGGAAGAAAATGAAGGGGGCGTCTTATACTTTCCTGCCCTTCGCTCTTTACCTGTAGAGCACCGCTGCCTGTCTCATCGTGCCGTGGTTACCTACGCATCTTAACATATTTTATGCCTCGTGTTCCATTTGTTATATTCCCCAATTCTTTACACCCCGCCGCAGTGGGCGAATCCATTCGGCTGGTAAAAGAACCACGTGGGATACCTCCATCCTAACTTCCTTCTCCGTGCTACATTCAGTCCTATTTGTTTTGGGGCAATTTGTGCCTCCTGTTTATACCCCTTTGTAGTATTTTTTTGAAGTTGCTATTTTTTGAAGTCTACCCACTTTTGTAGTTTATCTATTTTTTGCGCCCACTTTTTTTCACCCATTTTTTTTTTTTTTTCGTGCCCTCTACGTCCTCACGGGACACAGACAACTGCGGGTAATTTCACGCTCCCCTTGATGACATTTTTTTTTTTTTTTTAAGTTTTGTAAAAGGTTTAATAATAGTTTCGTTGGGGAAACACCCGAGATGGTCATTTTGGTCCTTTTTCATTTTTGCCTCTTTTGGGCACTTAACCGTTTTCTACATTTTTTTTTTTCAACTTTTGTCATAAAAACAAAGGCGGGGGTGGACCCCCATTGTGAATGCTCAAGACAGAAAAAGGTGAAAAAAAAAACTGTCAGACGTGCGTGAAACAGTTTTACGTTACCTATACTGTTGTGTAGCTTTGAACAAGGGGGAACTGATTTGTAAACATCTTATTCGTCCGGGAGCGTGTGCACAAGGAGGGTGATGGGGCTTCCACAAGTAGGTTTGGATAAGTACCTACGGGGAAGAATGCAAATATACACCCATAATAGAGACACTTAAATTATGCGCGCATGTACGTTCGTCTAACTACTCGGGAACTGTGTATATATATATATATATTTTTTTTATTTTATTTCCCCAATCGCGAAAAGAATCCACCCGTTGGTGTTAGAAAAAAGGGGACTGTTCCTGCTGCAGTAAAGATGTAAGTTAGGAAGGCATATAAGAAAAGATTTTACGGGGGGAGGCACATAATCTAATGTACACGTTCTGTTCATACTTATACTTGTATCTACATTTGCTTCTGCGCGGTGAGCGAAAATTGGTTTGCCACCTAACTCTGATAGGTAATTTTACGCCACCACGTGGTCGCTTCCACCAAGCCTTGGACTAATTTGTATGTTCATATAATTTTGCTACAATGGAGGCATAAACATGCAACAAAAAAAAAAAAAAAAAAAAAAAAAAAAAATCAATTCGTAAATTTTGGAATGTAAGAGTTAACCGTGTCATGGGAAAAAAAAAAAAAAAAAAAAAACATCTGACGGGAAGCCCCTAAAAAGGAGAAAGGGTCCAATCGCAGAATAAGTTGACAAGCTTTCACAATTCCGTACATTACGCAAAAGTGGAAGTGGTGGAGGCAGTCCACAAAAAGCAACAGAATTTTCTAAATCGCCTAGCGAGTTATCCAACCTGAATGGAGTAGAGGGATAAATATAGGATCCTCCAATTTGCTCACAAAAAATCTACCATCTCCTCTTCTTAAATAGGGCGGGAAGTAATACCCTACGTGATTGACAGATAACGCAGGCAAATGAGCACAACAGTGGGCAAGTCTAAGCGTACAACGAGCGTATGTACGTACAGATGAGCTTTGTATGGCCTTCATCTTTTACCAGGCGTGGTGAAAAACTTGTAGTGGAGACCCAAGCGGCAGTTGACCCCAAAGCGGAGGAACACTGAGGAGCCCATCTTAGTGGTCGCTGCAGTTTGAAGAAAACCCCAACTTTTCAATTTTACTAAGGAGTGTTCGTTAGTAGAGAGGAGACAACACCTTACAGAGGCGCGTCATATAAGAGTTTATTCACTTGGGACAGTGGAGGAAGGCCGAGTTATGTCACTCGGAGAAGCAACTGTTCTGGCGCGCTAAAGTCGATTCATTTCGATAAGGAGAAACATATAATCCTTCTGAGTTAAGGGAGTGAAGGAAAGGACAAATATTTTTGATCATTAAAGGAAGATCCCCCCCAGTAGGGTAAGCAATATAGAAGTATTGCCATACGTACAATCGTGTCGAGTTTGTGAAGAGACAAAATGCCGACTATTTCTGTGTACGAAGAGGACCTCATAGAAAAGCTGGGCCAAAAAATTGAAGAGGAAAAACTGAATGATATATGCTTCGAATTTGGCATAGAGATTGACGACATAGAATACAAAGGTGAAAAAAAGATTTACAAAATTGAAGTGCCGGCTAACAGGTACGACTTGGTATGCGTGGAAGGGTTATGTCGAGCGCTGAAAAGTTTTATAGGGAAATGTCAAAACATCAATTATGTTTTGTTACAAAATAGTGAAGAGGCCTGTGTAAAGGAAAAGCACTTTATACGAGTAGACGAATCAGTGGACGAACGGAGAAGTTATGTCGTTTCAGCCGTTTTAAAAAATGTAAAAATTAATGAAAATGTGTACAATAATATTATAGAGTTGCAGGAAAAGTTGCACCATAATTTGGGGAAAAAAAGAATTTTGCTGGCGATAGGAATTCACGATTATGACAAGATAAAATTTCCTGTGGTATACAAATTTGAAGAGAAGGACAAAATAAATTTTATTCCTTTGAACGAAACGAAAAATGTGAATGGAAATAATTTCCTAAAATTTTATCAAGACAATATAAATTTAAAGTCTTATTTAAAAATTATCAAGGACTTTGAGAAATTTCCTGTCATCGTCGATGCAGACAATAAGATTTTATCTCTTCCCCCAATTATCAATTGTGATCATACAAAAATTACCTACGACACGAAAAATTTATTTATTGAATGTACAGCCATCGTTAAAAATAAAGCAGAAATAGCTGTTAACATTATTTGCTCTATGCTGTCAGAATACTGCACACCAAAGTATTCTATTCACTCCTTCTTCGTCCAGTATGATAAAAAACATAAGGCGGAAAAGGGGAATGGCTATTTGTACCCAATTTTTAAGAACAAAAGTTTGACATGCCATATGGATTATGTGAGAAAATTGTCCGGCATTTTAGACCTTTCAGTGAAGGATGTCGAACCGTTGCTTAAAAAAATGATGATATCTTCGAAGATTATTGATAGCAATACATTCACCGTGGACGTACCCTTTTACAGATCAGATATAATGCATTGCTGTGATATTGTTGAAGATATAGCCATCGCATACGGGTATGGAAATATCGTATCGGAAAAAATTGAAATTGCAAAAAAAAATTCATTAAGTGCATGCACAGAGTTGTTTAGGAATGTTCTGGTTGAGTGTACCTACACAGAGGTGATGACAAATGCTTTGTTATCAAAGAGGGAAAACTATGACTGCATGTTGAGGAAGCATAGGGATTATAAGGACGAAAAGATAAACTTGGATGAGTACAACCCCTTGGCACCCCCAGTTCAAATCATGAATTCCAAAACGTCCGAATACGAAATTGTTAGGACATCTCTAATTGTAAATATGTTAAAGTTTGTGTCTGCAAATAAACACAGGGAACTTCCCCTACGCTTCTTTGAAATTGGAGATGTTTCTTACACCACGTATAACAAAACGGATACCAACGCTGTGAATAAGAGGTACTTGTCCGTTATCTTTGCCGATAAGTTTACGGCTGGGCTGGAGGAAGCGCATGGTATGCTAGAAACCGTTTTGAAGGAGTTTCAGCTTTTCAGTGATTACAAAATTGAGGAGAAGAGGAAGGAGAATGTGGCTATTCGTTCGGATGTGTTCTACAAGTTGGTGCCTACGAAGGGTAAGACGCGCGGAGACACGGTCCAGCGCCCGCAGACGGTCATCTGCTGTCTATGTGTGTGAGAAGTCACGGTGAATGCCAAAGCGCCATTGTACGTGTACATATCCGTCGACCATGTTGCGATGATTACTCTTCTTTTGTTCTCAACTCCAAATCCATACTCTCCTTTTTTTTTTTCCCCCCTTGTCAAAATCACCATTATGTACAGATCCCTCCTTCCTGAACGAGCGAGTAGTTGACATTATCTTGTGTCCACAAAACTTGAAGTTTGGAATTCTGGGCATAATTCACCCGAAGGTTTTGGAAAATTTCTCCATCGACGTTCCAGGTAGGGGGATGTTGTTTTTCGATAGCGTTAATCGTGGCTCGGTTATGCGTCTGGATATTTGCTCGTGTGTGACGTATTCTCCGTAATGTCCCCCCCACTTCCATAGTTCTCTCTCTTTTGCGGTGTGTGTCAAACGTTGCTCCATTTTAACAACTCCTCCCCTCTTCCCCCTTTACACAGTGTCCGTCATGGAGATAAACATCGAAAGCATAATGAACATCCTGATGATTTGAAGCCATGTTAAGGAGGAAGAACCTCCGCCCCGTGAATTTTAAAATCCGGAAAATGCTACAAAAAGGGAATTCAAAAATGTGTCAATTATGCTCCTTCAATTTATCATCAAAATAATTGAGCGCAAAGAGGTACGCATTGTCTGGATGTGTCTTCACTAATTTTGCGATGAACTCGGAAAGGACTTCTTCGAAATACGGGGGAACATTGTACTTGTCCAGGTTTAGCTTGTCCACCTTTTTAAATTCAAACGGGTTTGTGTTCTCCATAATGAGGCGGGGAGGAAGAAGAACTGCAAGGAAACGGAATAATAGGAGTCCAAACGGATGGAAACAAGATTTATCCACAACAAATTAAATAATGATTTGTTTAGCCTTTATATGTAAATCACATGTGTACATATGCGTATGAACTCGTGCTATATGTGCACGTTCGCGTTTCACAGAGGCGGCATAGAGACACGCAAAAAAAAAAAAAAAAAAAGATGCACACTTCGCAGGCGTGAAGAGATGGATGGAATTGTACTGGGTATGGTCTCCATACCGCCTGATCGTTCTTTAGTGAAAATTGAGCAGTTTGCACCCTTACTCCAATAGGCGCTGCGAAAAGCCTGCTTCAGTGTGTGATAGTTTGTTTTACGCGAACAGGTGCTGATAGCGCAACGAGGGGAAGCATCCCCGTGGATCAAAAGTCAATTTTAGAGTAACTCCTTTTTTGTTTTACTAACCATTTTTTTTTTTAACTGTCTCCATAACGCTTCTCAATTGTTAACGTTTATGAAAATTCAAATTTTAATTTTGTAATTACAAGGACGAAAAAAAAAAAAAATGCCATGTGTGATGTTGTCTATTTGGTATGTTATTTTAATTTTTTTTAAGCATGTTAAAAAAAAAAAAAAAAAAAAAAAATGGGAGAGAACAAACTCCTTTTTTAATGGTACAAATTCGCTTTATGAATGCAGAAAGGCACATGTTTGGGTAAATGCAATATGGAAAAAATTTTGTGGGAAAAAAAAATTCCTTGGAAGGTTTAGAAGTAACCCTACCCAGTTTTAAGTAGACACCCTCGCACAGCTTTGATCACCATGTAGGAAAAACCGGCACGTGTGACTATGCGCGCAGCAAGTTTCAATAGCGTAGTGCGTAATAACTACGAGGCTATGTTATGTTATGCTATGTTCTGTTTTATTTTATTTTTTTTCCCCCTTTAAATGGGGGGACAAGCAAAATAAGTGCTGTCCTAGGACGCGCCCTTATTATGGTAAAGTATGTTTAGTCCTGCTTCGACCACAGAGAGGGGCTTCATCTCGTTCGTGGGCACTTCCATAGGGAGGCATACGTTCCTTTGGATGGGAGTCTCTTTCACAATTTGGCGCTTCAGTGCCCTCCGTGGTTTGCATTACTACTGACGTTTTTCATATCGGAGTAATTCGTCAGATTAATCAAACTCTCTACGCTATGGTTGCGCGACTTAAGACTCAGATTGTTACTGATGAGGTTTCGATTAGGGTTCAAGCCGGCATGGAACCCCACATTTGTGCCACGCCCCATGACCGCATGGATACCTCTAACGGGGGGTGCATTCCTTTCATTCTCATTAGCACTAAGACTGCCATTCGGTACTCCCCTTTGCATCTCTCCGAAATCGCTCTGACCATCAACATCTACTATTTTATTACTTTTACCAAGCAGCTGATGTAAATTTGGGGGATGGTAAAAATCATTGCGAGTGTTACTTTCTGCAACAATATGGGGAGGGATGGCATACCCACTGATGGGATGGTTCCTTTGAACGACGCGATTATTGGAGAGGCTACAATTATCCGTATCGATCGAATTGCTGTCATTGTAATTGATGTAACTTCTTAACATATTGGGATGAACCCTAGGGGGTTGTTCAAACGCACTGGGGTAGACGTTACCTTTTGCTGCGTAGCCATTTAGCTGGTCGCCACTCATTGCTTTCCTGAAAAGGTCATCGTTACTGCTATGGGTGAAGTGGTTACTCATGCCAATATTTCCATTTACAGTGTGCTCATTTTTTTGCGGGTACCTATTTGTAATGCTGGTGCTGCTGGTGCTGCCTTGGCTGTGGTTATGAGCATTGGACATTATTTTATTTGAAAGGGGCTCATTTGGTAGGGTAAACATTTTCAAGTCGGCGTTGATTCTATCGTTAGAGGGTGGGAAATTCCTTGCATTGGTGGGGTTGATATCGCTCGTTGTGTGTGCGGTTCCCTGATTGGCCCCGTTAACTGCGCCATCTGCTCCGACTCCGCTGAAGTGCTCCATCTGGTTGACCAAACAAGAGTGCGCTATGGATTGAAACAATTTTTCTATATCTGGGTTAACATGCACAAAGGAATACTGCCAGAATTTAAAGATGGGATTCTTAATAAGCTCAATGAAGGTAATGAGTAGTCCCCAGGGGTGAGGTCTATGAACTATTAGTCGCTCTAACAAAATTCCAGTAATTTGTTCATTTACAATTTCCATTTTTGAAATGTTAAAAATCCAGAGGAGGAGACAAGAAAAGTAATGAGTGTGTGCATTGGGGTATCTCAAATGGTTGGTAATGGAAGAGAGCAAATAATATCTCCCTTCCATGTCTAACTTATAAGTGAGATGTAGGATTATTTCCAGTGCAGGATGGGACTCTGAAACTTTGTCAATCATTAATATTTGGGAGGGAAGGGACATACCAATATATAACACTAGGGCATTTATCAACGCTATGTTGTACTTGGTTTTCAAATATAAAGCTTTCATTTTATTCTTCACAAGCAATTTTTGATGAATTTTTTTTAATGAGATAACATTTCTGGTGACAAAATAATCATCGATGTATTTCTTTATGTTATAGTCAATTAGAATAAAGGTGAAGTTGTTTAGGATAACTGGTACTACCTTCATTTCTGGTAGGAGGTCTACTTTCAAATTGGGATAAAAGGGATGGGGCAATTTAAGATTTCTTGGAAAAGCAGACAAAATTAGATTCCTCATTTGGATACAATTTAAGGGGATGGAGTTACAGAATGAGAAATTGTATACACAAAGGAACTCTGGAAAATCGTGCAGCAAAATTAAAAGCATTCTTAGTGTCCCTCTGTAAATTATTTTTATGGGGGGGGTGAGAAAGGCATTCTTTAGAAACACGTACAGAAATTCTAACAGGTAAATTAGTAATTTGTTGTATATACACCATCCCTTGGACGTTTTCAATATTTTTGGTAGAAACAATTTGTGGCTAATCAATTCTAACCATGCGAAGATAAATCCGGGTACACGTAATGGGTTCAGAATACACAAATAATATCCTATGGCTAGGATTAACTTATTGTACGACTGCTCAAAGTATTTCTCGTTTTTATTTATTTCGACTAGGATGGATAAGAAGAGGCGAAAGTATGGTCTTTGGTTGAATTTCTTTTTATTCCTTCTCGACTCCCTGACTACGATTCTACAATATACGTTCATCACTTTTTGAAACAGAATAAATGGCGAAATTTGCTGCGTATCGACTAGCTTCATCATGCAGATGATCATTTTCGCCAGGCCATCAAGCGACAGAGTGTCAATCGCGTCGTCTAAATGGGAATTTCCTGTCAGTCTCTCAGGCTGTTCTGCACTAGAGGTGCCTCCTCCGATTTTGTTGCCCCCCTCCGGTTGTCTGCAGGCATAACTGTTGCACATGTCGAAGTTGTAGTGGTACACATCCTCATCGTCGCTCTCGCCATTGTTGTGGGTATCTTCCACATCGGCTTCATCCTCACTGGCTTCTAGCTCGTCCTGTTCTTCTTTGCCGTCCTCTAACTGCTGCCACTCGTGTTGCTCTTCATCTTCTTCCAACTCGTAACTATCACTGCCGTGATCGTCATCCTCAACCTGCGTTTGGTCCTCCTCGTGCATTTCATTCGCATCGTCCTCCTCAGCATCTGTTTCGTCTTCCTCGTCGCTCTCAATTTGCGTTTCTCCTTCCTCGTCGTTTTGCACCACCACATCGTCTTCCTCTCCCTCATCCTCCTCTTCGTCTGCGTCGTTCCTGTGGTTTTCCTCCCCCGACTCTTCTTCTTCTTCTTCCTCCTCCTCCTCCTCCACCTCGTCCACCTCTTCCACACGGTCCGCTTCCAGCTCATCTACTTCTGTTTGCTCCTCCTCCACTTCATCATCCACTTCTGCTTCGTCTAACTGCTCATTCAGTTCATCATCCGTTTGTTCCGCATCTTCCGCTTCGTCTTCCTCCACTTCATCCCCGTCTGACTCGACCTGACTTCCGTCCTTATAACTGTCCTTTAAAGGGGAAGCCATTTCATTTGGACTCCCATCATTGTTCCTCCTCTTCACATTGAAATGGGTCTCCGATTTGTTAAATTCTTTATCATCGCTTGACACAAAGTCGACGTCAGCAGATCCGTCGATGGCAGCAGATAAGTTCCTCAACATTTCGCTTTTTTTCACCTGCATTTGCTTTGTCCTTCTCTGCTTTCTTGATAAAGGGTCAAGGCAGAATTCTTCTTCCTCATCTGAATGACACTGCTCATAATTCGATATATTTGAATAAAATGTTAAGTTTGTGGATTCTATACAGGAACGGTTTTCATCAGAAACTTGGGAAACTTTACTGCTGTTGCTATTTTTTTCTATTGGTTCTTTTTTTTCATCCCTATTAGTCTGTTCTGCTTGTCTGCCATTTTTGTCAAACCGCTGTGTACCCTCTTCTGCATTTTTGTTTATCACTTGGTTTTTGTACAAGTGGGATGATTGTTCATTTCCTCCACTGGGGAGGCATACTTCGTTCGATTTATTATTGTCCCCTTTTGTGGCCCCTCCTTGCACGGCATCGATTCTTTCATTTGGGAATTCTCTCTTCTGTGAGGTTACAGAAGTGTCATTGTTTTGCTGCTCACAATGAGTGGCGCTTGCATGGTATTCCGACCCATTGTTTCCATTTGCACTATGAGCATTATCCAGCAAGTTCATATTTTTCCCCCTTTCCACGATGGGCCCACTGGAGTTGACGGTGCTAATACAGGTCCCTCCCTCCACAGCATTATAAATGCACACGGCAAAGAAATTATCAGTGTTGTTATCAATTCGTAGCAATCCTTGGTTGGATATGTTTTGAAAAAATTTAACATAACTTTGGTTAGGGTTATCCACATTCTTAAGATTGATTAATTTTATCCACTGGAAAAAAAAAATACTAATGATCTGTTCATGTTGTTTTGGAATCTTCTGCGGTTTGGGAACTACTCTGATGCCTCCCACCCCTTTGTCTTTGAAATATGTATTATTTTTTTTTTTTTGCAATATATTCCAGTCCGTGTTCAGACAGAAATCGATTATCTGCGTCAGGGTCGTTATGTATTCTGGGTTCATTAAAATTTTCAGATTTTTCTTGTATTCCCTCTTCGCCTGTTTCTTGGATTGGCAAAGGTGCGCATTTGTTCTGTTTTCCTGGTTCGTCTTACTTATCGCGCTTCCGTCCACGTTGCTCTTATTGTTGGTGCTGGTGCGCGTACTGAGTGCCGACCTGGCCTTTTCGCCTTTCTCGCGCAGGTACACATCTTCACGGGTGTGCACCTTGATCCCCTCCATGTCTAGAAGACCAAAGTTGTCCACGCTCTTCAGTTCCTCGTGAACTTTATCGAAATTTTTCTCCTCGATTAGGGAGCTTAAAAGGTCTTCACTTAACTGGTTATAGTCCCTTTTAAAATATTCCAGTGGGTTTTTCATCAACTCACTTTTTTTTATTTCGTTCAGATGGAAGTTGTTATTTGTGCTTGGGCATTTCAATTCGAATATGTTTTCTTTCGCTTCTGCTCCCTCTAGTGTTCTATATGAGTAATACAACCCATCCTCCCGCTTTGCGCCACCTTCGCCCTGCGCGTGTTGTGAAGTTCTACCATTTTGTACTTGGTTCCCTTGCAGTTGTCCCTTTTTACCGTCCTCATCGGTGCCATTCCTGTCCATCCCCATGCGTAGCATCATCTGATCTGTGTTGCCACCTCTCGGCACGTCTAGATCCTGCTCCTGGTCACGCTCATCATCGCTTTTTAAATATTCCTCATAAACGTGTAGCAGGTCTGAAAAAATGACGGCACCTTTTTTTCCCTGAATCTTTTTGGCCTCTTCAGTTAATATTTCGATGGCGACGTTGGTATCAATTGGGGGGGAGTGGTTGAAGAAAAAAATTTTGTTGGTCAGAATTTTTTGCTCCTTCAGGTTATTTAAAATGATAAATATGTCTTCAAAATCGTTGTATCTGAAAATTTGGAAGTCGATTAAAATTTGTCTCAACAGTAGGGTGACAAACTCTGTATTGGCATTGATGCTATACATGTCCGTGCTGAGTTGTCTTACTAGGTAATATTTATATTTCTGCATATCCATCAGGTTGTACCTTATGAAGCCAGCTATCACATTTGCATTCAGTTTTGCCACTCCTTTATTGTGACATTTTGTTTCTGACTCGTTCTTATTTTGGTGGCCCCCTTCATTTGAGTTGCTATTCGTCGGGGAGGGAAATTGGCTTCCCAGTTTTGTTATATCGTCTGATTCATTCTCCTTGACCAAGTTTGATGGGGCAAAAAGGGGCTTACTACAACTTGGTGAGTTGTCATTCGAGAGGGAAGAAGAATCATTCGACATTATAAAATCCGTTATGTGTTCTTTTAATAAGGGGCATTTTTTTTTTAGCTTTTCCAGGATGCACAGAAATACTTCCAAGTATATGCCAGAGGGGTCATTGGATCGATAAACCCAAGGCGTTTTGTTACTGTGAGGGGGGATAACTTCAAAAAGGAACTTATAAATTCTGTTTGAGTATGAAATGATGGTCTCGTCTTTATGTTGTGTTAGCGCTGCTATTTCTGGAATAGATTTAATTAGGTTAAATATGCTTCCATCAACGGACAGGCTATACAAAATGTGAAGACTCATTTTGTTTATATTGTCGGAAGGCTTTTCTTTATTTATGTTAAACAGTATGGGCGGTAAGATGAGGATGTCCTTAATGGCATCTTTCAGTTGGTTAGTAGCAAGTTCTAATTTGTTCAGAATTTTATGCAGCTGCGAATTTGTGTCTACATGGGTTGCAGATGGTGAACTAGATTGTGGGGGTGTATTTTCATTCGCGTTCCGTTTCGCGCTGTTTACACTTTGCTCAGTCTTTATATTACCATTTATATTGTAATCCGTGTTGGTTTTTCTGGCTAATGTGGGATCACTTTTTGGCATTCCAATTGGGGGATCATTAACTGTTCGCTTCTCTTCGTTCATATTTTTTGGATAATCCATTTTTTCTTCCTTCTTCTGTAAATTCGAATTTGAGAAGAGGGCATGCATGAGAGTACCACCTGCCTGTTGATTATTCTCTACATTTACATCATTCACTTTTGTGTATATTTTCGTAAGCGCTTTCGCAGCGGCATGTAATTTTTTCAGCGGGGCTATGTTTAGGAAGTCTTTATATATTTGCAACTGATTATTCGTCACAGGCAACCCTAACTTTAGATAGTGGGCGATCTCTAGCTGCATTCTTTTGGTGTTCATAAGATGAATGGGATCATTCAGAGCGATTCTATGTTCTTTGGCTACTTGTCTGGATAAAAGGGTAGGTTCCAATGCTTCATTAATATCTTTGATAGCTTTTTCAATAACTGCCTGTTCGACTAGACTGCAACCTAATTCTAGGTTATCTGCACTTAGAATTTGAATCACTTGTTCAATTAAAACCTGGTCGTTGCAATCTTTCGTGCTCGTTTTTTCTAACCAGTGTCTTAAATGGTGCGTTAGAGAAATACGCAGAGGTTCCTTACACGTAACTAAGGCTAACGAACCAGCTAGCGATGAAATCATAATATGGGCCGCCTTCCGAATTAGAGTTTCATCTCTTTCCAGGCAGAAATCTTTACACACAATTTCTCTCGTTGTAACACAAGATATAGCTACCGATCGGTCTAATATAGCTGCGATGATTTCCCTAATGGCTTGATAAAATGCTATAGTAACTAGGCTTTTTAAACCCGGCTGGATTTGAAAAAGAGCTATAGAGGGAGATACAATTATTGCACTGTTCAGGCTCTGCAAAAACTTACTACTATTAATTTTGTTATTAATTAAATTGTTGTCAATGGAAATTTCTGGACTGTCCATATTGTCGTTACTGTTATAGTAGTTGGCAGTGCCGTCGTAGTAATCGGCGGTGTTATCATAATGGTTGGCGTTACCAATATAGCTGGCACTAGTGGCATAGCTCACATTGAGGGGGTGTTGCTCACCCATCGCACTTACATTTTTACCTCCACCACCAGCCACCTTTTTGTTGTAGCTTGCATTTATTAGATTTACATCTGGGGGGGGAAAGGTGGAAACTAACGTCATGTCATTTGTCAGAGCATCAATTCTGTCGACATCATCCTTGCTCCATTCAGAATCAACATAATCAACGTTATAACTTGGAAGGTTATTGTTTCGCCTAGTGTACTCCCCTTTTTCTGGGATGAACCTCGAGCTCGGTAGTGCATTATGCGGCACACTACTTGGTATATCCCTTGCGGTAATATTTGTTACATTTTCCAACTCTTCCAGTCTGGGGTTCAGAGTCAATCCACCTTGTACTCTACCTATATGACTATTAACAACACCTGTTAGGCCTTCCCTACGTGGGAGATTTTTCAAGTCTTCACTTAGAGGTAAAGCGCTGCTATTCTCTTGGTTGTTGTTGCTACCTTTTGGTATGAGCAATTCACTTTTCCTATTGTGTGCAACACTTCGCTTACTTAGTAAGGTGGTTTTATTCTTAAAGGCATGAATATCTAAGGCAAGATTTTTAAACAAAATTTCCACCTCAAATATTGTGTACGTCTTCACATTTGGGAGTTGATGAATTTCTGTTAGTAAGCATAGCATAGTTGTGGTCCAAGGGTTGGGAGGCTTAAAATTTTTAGACAGTTTTATAGATTCTAAAATTCTGCATATCAATGGTAGTATGCACACTAGGCAGCCTTTTTCGTAGGCTTCAAATAGAACTAACTTTAAATCTAAGATTTTCGATTTTAAGGGTCTATTTCTCCCTAGGGTTATGAACCCTAACCAGGAGCCTAAATTCTTCAGCACTGTTTTAAATGCACTAACTTCTTTCAATTCGTTTATGTATTTGAATAGGATGAGTATACACTCGTAAGTCATATTTATGATCGTGTCGATAAGCATAGGATAGCTTAGTTTATCAATGAACTCCAGGAAAACTTCGTGGAGGTTTACTTCCTTGGAGGCCCTGGATTTGACAATGTAAAAGGCTAGCCAGCTGTAGTGCTCTGGCTGCATGACTTCTTTTAAAATTTTAATTTTCTCATCAATATTGAATGAGCAGAGGGTGTTAAAAATGCTAAACACTTCGCCTATTATTAGGGGCGATGGTACAATAATATTTTTAGTTAAATCGGTGTTGTCCATTAGGCATTCTATTTGGCCTAATCCGAACCCCCCAATGTTGTTTAGGCTCAAATTAGGTGGTAACTTCACCTGCACTTGATCGTAGAACGATTCCATTATTTGGCACAACTGCTCCTCTTTGTCCCTGCTGCTGAGCGGGTTACCACTTGCGAAGTTGTTGCCAATGGTCATGCCGTCACGCTTATCACTATTCAGATTAACATTCGGGCGTTTGATCCCTTCGGGCGTACTGGCATATTTAGAACCATCGACCACACTGCTCATTCCGATTTCTCCTGCATGCTCATTGAGAATGGAAGCGTTACTGAGGGACACAATTTCCCTACCCCCAAGGTTGAACGGGTTGCCTTGGGTGGTTAAAATGCGGTTAATATGGTTGCTTCCATTTGGAGATACGTAGGACCGGTTGGCATATAACTGATTCATGGCACCCAAAGGGGTGCTTGTCTTATCACCGTTTAGTAAGTTTACATTGGTAGTGATGTTATGGTTCTTAACAGGGGAGGGGATGTTGTTTATGTTTACGTTAAAGTTACCGTTTAGGTTATCGTTTATATTTTTATTTTTAAAAACATGTTCACTTCTACCTGGGGTGTGCTGGGTGGTTTGCTGACTGGCTTGCTGATTGGACTGCAAACTGGATTGCAAACTGGACTGCAGATGTGGGTGATGCTGCACAAGACTTGAACTGTTTGGTAAAATGTCACTGATGTAGGATAGCACATTGTCATTAGTTAGGTTGGCGCTAGTACCGCTGTTTCCCTTCACCATATTGTTTAGGGCGTTGGCGATAGTGCTGTTATTATTATTACTATTACAGGTGCTAGAACCACCAAGGTTGTTACTTACATTTGTATTGTCAACATGGCCGCTAGTAGACATGGTTATGCCCATTGAGGAAATTAAATTATTTACATTCTTCAAATTGTTTCCATTATGGGTTGATATTTTTTTGACGTCATCATTTGACGCCTGAGATATATTCGCATCCGTTGTGCTACTGTTTGCACCAATTTCAGCTAGGTGTTTTATTTTTAATATTGTAGAGGCATCTATGTAAGGTAAACTCCTGAAGTGCTCTGGAAGGGTGTTCAATAAATTGCTGCAATGAATGACGTATTGGGGGTTGTACTGCCTTAGGGTAGTAACCGCTATCAAGGAAGACAAAAAACTGGGGTAACATATTAGAGAATCTTCAAACTGTTCCAAAGCCGTAATTCCAAAATTGAACATTTTAGAATCATTTCCTTTTTTAAAAGCTTCCAGAATGCACTTCAATGCAACAGCCAAGGTATTGCCATAGGATAGCAATAAGTTGTGCTTTATTAATTTTCCAAATAGCTGTGCAGTGGTGTCCAGCTCCTCTGAGGGATATTTTGGGAAAAATCTACACTCATTAAACAAAATTAATAACATTGATTTATACACATCATTATTTTTGGATCCTTTGGGGGAACCGGACAAGCTCTTCATGATATCTATCATCGTGTCCACTGTAATTTCCCCGGTGTACAATTTGGCGAAATAACCATTCACCTCAACCTCGTGTTCACTGAGGAACGCATTGTCCACCTGAACATTTATGTTGAAATTGTTATTCATTTTCTAGCACATGTTTTGTTCTTATTACTGTACCTATTTACTGTGTATTGTATTAATATGATTATCGCGCAATTTAATATATTTTCGCAGCCCCTCTTTCTTGATTCGCCTTCTTTTTCTCTCAACCTTCTTCTCTTTATTTGTACGCTTAAAATATATATATACGCGCGCGCGTATGTGTATACTTTGGAATGTGCTTGGGTACGAGTACAAGTAGGGACAAGGGCATATATGTACGTACATGCGTATGTAAGTGTTTATGCCCGTATGTACATGCCAGTTCATGTGCAAGCATGCGGCGTGAACATATGCAAGTATGAATGTACGAATATATCCCCTTTTTTAAAATATTTCCTTTTTTGCCCTTCTCTCACTTTTGTGTGTTGGCGCGATACTGTTTTCCTGTCGAAAATATGTACGCAGGGTTTTTGCAAGCTCTGTAAAAAGTGTGGTGCGTTTTTTTTTATCTTCTATATGAGCGTACAATACAGCAAAGCAAAATAAAACTTAAAAACAATTTTTTTTTTTTTTTGCAATATATTGTGTTATATACATTTGCTCATTTGGTCACGCGTTCATTTGTTCGCGTACTCCTTTTGTCACTCGTTCATTTATTTGTTTTGTTCACCCACTGACTTGTTTAATATTTTATATTTTTTTCCATAAGGAGCTTTTATTTTTTTCTATAAGGTATGTACATATTACATTTTTTTTTTTTGCCACATTTTTTTTTTGTAATATGCAAGTATGATGTGTTGATACAATCTTCTATTTTTTAAGCGCACGTGAGTCACCACAAATATGGATGAAACGTCCTTGAGATTATGCGTATACCAACGTTTGGGTGTCCTTCACGCGGCGCTGCCTTGGTGCAATTAAGCGTACCTACGCGTACGCCATGCGTACACTTGGTGACACATTTACGTGCGACTCGTGCACACGTATAGGTATATAAGTACAGCTACTCGTATAGGCCCGCGTACACGTAACAAATATGGTGGCGTATATTCCCACACCTATACGTGAACGCTTTCATTTCACATATAAGGAGGCAAGCACACTGCGATCTGAAAGGGGTTTGGGAACCTGGTTACAGTCGCATGCAGGAATTGTTCACAAAACTACATCTTTTTCTACATGCATGCCTGGGTGTCAATTTGGTTCATTCTCTATGAATGAGCATATGTATGTACATACGTTCGAGTGTACAGGTTTTACGTGTTCCTCCTTATCGCCTTAGCTTTTCGTGTTTTCAATTTTATTTTTTTTATTTTCCCCCTTGTAAATTTTTCTCAGCACACTTTTCTTTGCGTTATAAAACTTGCGCGATGGTTATATATTTTTTTCCGCTAAGCAACGAATCATTTTTAAAACATCATAAGTGAATAATTTCCATTTTAATTTGAAGAAAGGAGTTTCTTTCGATGGAGGGATTGAACTGCCTATTTTGTTAACAATTTTGTGCAGTATGTAAATGGGGGGCTAGAGTCCTTCAGTTCTTATGTTTGTTTTTTTTTTTTATTTTTTATACTTTAATTTACCAGGGTTTTAATTATAAAATAGACTTTACAAATGTGTGCACTTTTTCATCATGTTTACGATTTCGTTTTTATACACATGTGAGGATAGAGATAAAATTCGCATGGTTTTGGTGTGCACCACGAGGATTAGTAAAATGTGCGTCACTGTTGGGTTAATGTTATGTACACATGTTGCTTCGTTTTTGTGCCCGTGCTTGCACGAATATGTAGGAATCTGTTCACAAGCGGAGGTGAGGGAAAACAGAAACATAAAAGCGAAAGATAAAAAGGGAGCACAAATGGAAGTCCCACGGAGAGATCTGTTTTTAATGCCATGTCCACGTTGAAATGTGCGTACTGTTCAGGGTTGAATGTGGCACTCATAATAAATGTAAGCGCAAAAAAAGGAAATGAGTTTTAGCACAAAAGTAAATATCATTGCCTGGTGCACATCACATCGTTATTCTGGAGTAGAATTGGCGCATTCATGTGGTGCGTCCGTGTAGACCACATCGATTTGAAGGGGGAATAAAAGGTTTCTTTCATTGTGGTGGTGGGACATATAGTGCGGTTATTTCTTTGCGTGAGGGCCAACTTGCTAAAACGTACGATATTTTGATAAATGTGCAAGTGTTCAAGTGTGAACATGTTCGAATATTCAAATATTTGAATGTTCAAATGTAGGGATTCACACACATGTAAACGTTAGTAGTACGAGAGCGAGTGTTTTGTTCTATACACGCACAGAGTCATGACCATAAATTTAGTAGATTCGGTTTAAGCGTAGGTGAAGAGGCGCGGTTGGGAGTATCGGCTCATTCGTTGGGATAAATAAACTTTTTTATCCCCCCAAAGTTGTGTACATTCTGTCATGAATTTTTTTTTTTTTTTTTTACAAAAGGGTTTATTTGTTCGCTCTGTTTAAAAGTGAAAATGGTAGTAAGTGCAAAAAGTGTTGCATTCTCCATATCGACATAAGGGTGTGCCTGTCTTTAGAAAGGTATCGTGAAATTTTTTTCTTTTTATGTAATATTTTTAAGGTACAAATTGAACGGCAAAAAGTAATGCTACAGCCGGTTATCCTATTCACAAATTAGACAGAATAAAAAACTCGATAATGCTTCTTTCCACTTTAGTGACAAAAAAAAAAAAAAAGGGATAGCACGAAAACCAGTAGTGGACATAGCCAAAACTTCACATCAATTTTGCAAAAGGATGAATTGTATAGATACACGCAGGGTTAGCAAACAGTAGGCATTATGATATGGCCCATTTTGGCATGGACACGAATCCAGTAAGGAATAAAAACGAAATTCAATTTTATCCTTTTTTTTCTTTTTTTTAACAATTTTAATTGTATTATTAAAAAAAAATTAGTTTTCGAATTAGTTTTTTTTCTTTTTTTCTTTTTTATCATATATTTACGTAAAGTACACAAGGATGCACATAAGCATATGTTTGTGAACTTCAGATATGCTTTAAAAAATTGAACATGTATTTTTACAAATAGGAATAAGTATATTTTCTATTTATTCAATTAATACAAAACATATATAAAAAAAAAAAAAAAAAAAAAAAAAAAAATGGAGAGAGTAACAGAAACACATACCTGGGATGAATGATTCATCCACGCAGGGTAGAGGTGGAGAGTAATATGTTTTGTTGAATCACATGTATGTGTATACCCTTGTAAATACGTTCACACATAAACCTATGCATATACATACTTAAAGGTGTACACGCACATATACATTTAAAAGGAGAATCAAATAAAATTTTAATTAAACTTTTTTAACCACCGAAGGAAGAGGGTGGAAAAAAAAAAAAAAAAAAAAAAAATACATTGACTTTAAATGTAGATTTTCACGTTTTAAAATCTACCCACATTTAAGTGTCCTTAATTTGTAATTCTTCTTTCTTTAATTTTTTTAAATACTTTGGATTTTTTTTAAGGAAATTTTCTCTAGACAATTTCCCAAATTCTCCCTTGGCAATTTTATATTCCGTTCTGGTAAAATTTTGGTAGACACTGAATCCGAAAATTTTGGAGGTACAGTAAGAAGGAGTTTTCAAAGTAGCATAGTAAGGATAGGTTTGCAAAAGTATATGAGGAAAGGATGTACCAAAGAAGGAACCATCCAAATATACTTTGTCCTCTTCATGTATTTTGTATATCTCTTGACAGAGTGGACAATAAACATGCACTTTTGCAATTTTAATTTGATCGAACAGACCAATTGGAAGTACATTATGTTGAGAACAGCTAACTCTTGGGCAGCTTCCAAAATCACCCTTGATATACTTATCCTTCATTAATGACAGTCCTTTGGGGGTTGTAATAAATCGTGCGTGGATTAATGAATATAAAGAGACGGCATCCTTTCCAAATGCGTTCTTAGCGTCATCTTCATCAGGGGCGTCTCCAGCTACTATGGACAATAAATGATTAAAATTGGGCATCTCCGATTTTAATCCGTACAAATTAAAAGAATCTGTAATGTACTCATTATCTACCTCGACTAGGAAATTGCTGAGGGCTCTACTGTTGAACCATTTTACCCACGATGTACTTTTATCTGACTTGGAATCGTCGCCATCTTTGTTCGAGTCGCTAATATTCATTTTGATCTCTTCGCCTTGAATATGCGCCTGCGTCTGCTACTTCCGTGTGGTATGAACTGCTTTTTCCTATCTTACCTTATTGTATACACATATGTACACATTAGTAATACATGTGCAGCGTGTAGGGAGGCACGTAGAAGGGGGAACTTGCAAATTTATTCGCCACAATTTCCTCTACCCCTTCGGTATCGATATAACATAAAAAAAGGGGGCACCTGTTTTACGCTTCCTCTTATGACAGGCTGGTCAAGAAATACGAATCTTTTAACAAACTTCCACAAATGAACTCTTCAAATTTGTAAAAAATGGGCCTTTATTTTGAATACCTTGAAATGTGGTTTTTGTTCTAATGCTCTTTTCTTTCTTACAGGTGGTGGGCATACGTTTCTCCGTTCGTTCCTTTCCGTGTTTTGTAAAAACGATTGGCACAATTCGCTGCAACACGTGCTGGTTATTATTTCTTTGAAAGTGCGGTCGCTGGGTGGAGGGGCTACTAACTGGTAGTCTTATATAAACATATATATATATGTACGTGATGTACATTCCCCGTGGAGTGTTCCCTTTCGTGGAGCTGGACGTTCTCTTTGACCTTTAGAGGAAAGGCGGGAACTACTAAACCTTACCACCACTTAAACTTGGCGAAGAAGGTGAAAAAATTGTATACATAAATGGGGTAAAGATCGCAGAAGTTCAGAGGATACATACATATAAATGATAATTACATGTACGTACACTCTCTTATGTATTATGCATTATATGCCTATCTTCTTGTGGGGAAATTAATTACGCTTTGGTTATATTTTTCTATTATGTCAGTATAAATGAATAGCATAGAAATACGTACCCTTTGGCATTTAG